GCCATAAGGACTTCTACTGGGACCATGTGTGAATTAATCTTTAGGAACTTCCTAATTTATAGGGAGGATTTGATTAGAGTGGTGGTCTCCCTAATTCTGTGGTTATTTAGTGGATAAACCAAAGAGAGAACTACTGGCTTTTAATTTCTACTTTGATTTTGCGGTAATGTCATGCCCATGGTCAAGATATTTAACTATCTACTCCTATGTGTTCTCAACTGAAACGTCTCATTCTCAATGACTTCTTAGTTTCATAGTATTACAAGGACTAGTTTAATTCACAAGTGAGATGATTACTTAGGTTAATCATAGTCTCTTAGAATTTGCTATTTGTTTTTTCTTTGTTCTTTGAGAAGCTCAAAATTAGTGAGGGACACCCTCTAGGTAATGTCAACATTTTCCACTCAAACTTGAAATGTCAGCTGAGATTTAGAGATTACTTAGAAAAAGGTGGTAAAGTACACTGGGCCCTTTGGCTGGACCAGAGGAATCCTAATGCAATGCAAACATGTGTTCAAGGTGGCAGAATCATGGTCCTAATTGAGGTAGTTTTATCCAGTCTTTTTAGCCAGGTATGTTGTTTTTTCCTTCCCGACATAGACTTTGCAAAATTGTCTGCATGGGCCCCCTCATATTCCTCTGCCTAATGCATACCTATCTCTCTACCTCTTTTTTTGCATATACTGTATTGTTTTATTTCTTGGGATGGTGCTGCCTATTTATCTCCAAATTCTACCTATTTTTAAAGTCTTTCCTTAGAACGCCTTCCCTGACTAATCCAGTCTCTAATGATTCTCCCTTTTAATCATGTGTATAATACTTCATTTGTTTCCTCTTTGAATTATAAGCAACTCAAGGATGAGATGGTGGCAGAGACTGGCTAATTATTGACCAAATCCTTTCCCTTCCTCTTGGGCATATAGCTAGACCATATTCTTATCTTGCCTTGCCTTGCATTTAGATGTGGACTGAGTTCTAGCCAAAGGAATGTAGGCAGAAGGAATCAATGCTACACCTAGTCTGACTTATTAAAACATCCTACACATGGTTTTCCATGCTCTTTCCCTATGTGCTGGCTGAATGCAGAGGATTGGGAGATTCTAGGGGAGGGTGGATCTGTAATATGGAAGAAGCCTAGGTCTCTGAAGTATTATATGGAAGTGTTCCATCAACCATAAAACATTATACTGTTTCATGGTAAGCAACCAACTTATCAAGTTACTCCAGCCACTTGGCTTTGGGAGCTTATGTGTTGTAGCAGCTGCTATTTACTCTAACAGATGTGGAGTAAATTACACTATATTTCTTTGTTTCCTTCACAGTACCTAGAATAATGTGGAGAGAGGCTCAATTTCTGGCTGCGTCACAAAAAAATGATAATTGACTGACTGTCACCTTTCACAAGGAAGGATGCTCTCTCTGCTCAGGTCTAGAGAGTGGGAAGTAAGAAAGAGAAGGGAGGTATTAGCAGTGGATGGCCCAGTCTGAATGTACATAGGGTGAATAAAACACATAGATTTGGTCTTCTTCCTTGATCAATGGCATCAAATAAACAAACAGTATTGTTATTGATTATTATATTAAGTAAATACCAGGAAAGGTATTAGTATTGATTATTACATTAGATAAATGTGCAGAGTGGTGGCATTATTGATTTTTATATTAAACAAATATGGGGATGGACAAAATTCATACTTCAGCCAGCCTATCTTAAAATGACTTATGGTTTTGAGTACAATTCTAGGACAGGGAGTTACTTTATGATGAAAGTTTTAGAAAATCTGAGAACTTTCCTCATCAGATTTCCATTAAAAATGAAAGCAATTAGGGACACATATGTATCTGACTATAAAACAGGCATAGAGATGGCAGCATTGTTGTCAGCAACAAAGACCCATGGGATCTATCAAATACCAAATGTTGAACAGAGCCCTTTTAAGATACGGGACAAATTAAAGAAATCAAGCTGAGAGATGGAATACAATTGCAAAGGGCAGGAAAATTTTAATTATGTGCAAAATGTAAGCAAAGTTATCTGTAATTGGAGGCCCACAGTTTTGTACATCTTAGGTTGAGAAATGGTAGCTAGATATGGTGGGTGAAGAGATCCTTTATCTTCACATGCTTGTGGGTAAAGGGATTATTCAGTTTTTGGCTATGGGACAGGATGACATGGTTGTTTTTTAAACTTGTCTTTTTGAAAAATTCAAGAAAGTAAAATTATTGATTTTAACTAATAATTCTCAATGTTAGATTAAAAGGACCTATAGAAAAACTGAGGGAAAGATAAGGAAAGGGGAGCAGAATTGGTGGGAAGGTATTGAGAATCCCAATGCACAGGTTGAGAAGAATCTGAGCAATGGGTCCTGCAGGGAGGGAGACACAAAAGAAAGACAGTTCATGTACCCAACACTGGCAAGAATTAAAGACACCATTGAAGCTTAAATGTGCACAGCTAGTAAGGTATGTATCACATTATATTATGATTTTGGGGGGAGTAGTTTATTTCTGTCACATGACTGAGTTCTTTGATCTAGGGACAATGCCCATTTAGCCTTGAGTCCTATAATAGACATTTGTGGGTTTTGCTTGCCCAGCTTTCATTTGCCCTGTTTTCTGGTATTGTAATCTATATCCTGGAGAATCATCCCTCCCTCCATCTCAAGACGTTTGGTTCACGTAGATTTACTAAATCCTTGACTTCCTAGGATAGGATGTGACCCAGACCTGGTCAGTCAGAACAATAGTTCCCCTGCTCAGAGTGATTGTTCTAGGAACAAAAGCATGACTAAACCTGTCCGTCAATTTTAGGACATTTGTTGGAACTGCTGAGGAGGAAGAAGCTTTTTTTCTTTTCTTCTGGATTTGAATTTGGGAGGATATAAGTCACATCAAACTTCCTTCCACAGACTGAAGACAATATACAAAAAGTAGAGTTGGGATCTGGGGAGAGAGAAAAAGAGGGAAAGAAAGAAGTGGAAAGAAAGAGAGATTTATTGTTTGAGCACTTAGACTAGCCCATACTTGAAGCCAAACTCCTGGACTTTTCAGTTATACAAATCAAGAAATCTCTTTTGTTTAAGCCATTTTGAGCTTTTTCAGTTGACTTTCTATTCCTCTTAACCAAAAGCATAATTAATGTAGATCTCCCACATAAGCATAGTCCTAGAATATTATGCTTACTCAACATTTGTTGACTGAGTGCATGAATACATGAATAAATTTCACCTGCCAAAGTTCATGCTAATTAATGGTTGATCCAGGATGAAAACCCGCATTGGCTGGCACCTAACTTATGACAGCTTCCACGACTCTACCTGATCTCTCCTTTCCTGTCCCCTAACACCATGTACACACTACTGTCAGAGCACTTATTGAATTATATTCAAATTGTTTGCCTATCTTTGCCACTAGACTGAGCTCTTTGAGGATAGAAGTGGAAGTTTTCACTTCTGTATTCAGAGGCTCAGTGGTGGATGTATTGCTTTCTTGTCCAGCTGGAGTGGACCAGCCTCAGGTCTCATTTATACCTCAGGCCTTTGCACTTGGCTGTTGCCTTGTCTAGAGTACATCCTCTATCCCCAACTGCATTTGATTGGCTCTTGTCATTCAGGTCTCAGCTCAGGTCTTTGCTGACTACCCCCCATCTAATGGGGGGTGGTTTCTTTAGAAACTATGGTAGGCAGAGTGAAGACAGTGTCTTCACATTGTCATACTGAATTTTCTTCAGATCCCTTTTCTAATGTATTCATGTGTTTGCAGTCCATCTTCCATGACAGCAGGGTTCTCATCTGACTTGCTCATCGCTATACCCCCAGCACATAGAACAGTGCCTAGTGCAGAGGTGGCACTCAATAAATATTTGTGTGATGGACAAACCAGGTACTTACTGTTAGTAGAGAAGATAACTCTGAATCAGAATAAAGTAAAAGAGAAGCTTAAAAGCATACCTAAAAACTTTCTGTAACCAAGAAGAGGGCCTTCAGGACATATTAATTATGTTGCTTGGGATGCAAGAACACTGAAGAAAGGTTAAGCTGGCGATATGTTGTAAACAATAGCTAAGGTCTTCTGACTCTGAAATTCTTGATTACGTTATTGCCTATTTTATATATTTCTTTCAGTAATATTTGGAAGAGTAATATTTAGGAGGAAAAATTTTTTGGCCACTCACATAAAGATCTTCACCACCCTAGCAAATCCTTTGCTTTGGGCTGTGGGCAATCCGACCCAAATGAGAAGCAGGTGGTGAATTAATTGTGTGATTTGCATTTCTGAGGGGGTGTATGTGCGGAATTTTGCTTATACTGATCTAGAATTCTTTGTATTCAAATTTGCTTATATTTAAAGAAATAAAAGCCGAGATATTGGCCTGCTTTTGTCATAGTTGTAGTATAATCCACCGTAAAAATCACAATGTAATTTCATTTTTCCCTTGGTTTAATGCCACTAAAGAAGCCAGCTCTAAGTCTGAGGAAACAAATCTACTTTTAAGCATACCTGCATGCAAATGGGCTCTGGAGTTGGCTTATCCTTTTACATAATAAATTAGAGAATTCTCTCTTTCAGTGCAATAGATGTATAGATTAATATACCAAGACGAGGCATATGGATACGTGGAATCAATGGAAGCCTGGTTAGAGATGACAAAGAGTTTCATGCTCGAGTGCTTTGCAGCCTAATTCAATAAAACAAAATGAAAGGCAAATGCTTGAGGAGCCGAAGAGAGGATCCTTATGAAAATATTAAAACTTCTGTGCAAAGAAAGTCACACATTCTCCTTTGATTTTGCTCTTAACATTGCAATATAACGAATGGGCCTCTTTTTTGGGGGGGAAGGAGCTTTGTGATTTTTAATAAAGCAACCAAAAGGAACCATTTCGAGTGTAGAAACCTACTCTGTGGTCTTTAACTGAAAAGTTAAACACACTGAAATAAAAACTAGATTTTCCCCCCCATCAATTTGCAAAACTAAAGTAGAATTCAAACTGAAATGGCAACAGCGTGAAAAGCTATTTACGTGTCTGCAACCGTCTCTGATTCCATCCATTTGTTTTCCAGTCTTTGTTGTGATTCTGTGTTTCTCATGGATCTCCAGAGAGTTTCCGGCTTGAGGAGAGAATATCAATAGCCTGCATGCCCTCTAGGATATGCTTCCCTGCGACAATCACAGTGTTTCTGTGGATCAGATCTTCTATTTCTTTTAATAACTGTAGTAGAACAACAAAAATTATTCATTTTGGGGACACATAAAAATCAACAAAGCAATAATGTCTAAGTAAGGGTATAATTTTGCTTCCTTTTTGTGTGATAAGCTCAAAGGCAAAAAGTAAGAATCAATTGGTGTTTTTTCAGGTATCTCATAAATCCATAATTATATCACATGCATTTAAAAAATGAAGCAAAGAGCTAACAAATTGAACAGAACTTGTCAAATAGAATGTGGCCCAGCGCAGTGAAAAATAAATACTGGATTTTCTAACTGGGTCTGGATGGTCTGGTTTCTGATTGGAGTCCTGTCAGGAGACAGGTCACCTCTGATCAAGTCCCTAATTCCTCTGAACTCCATATTTCATATCCATGAAATGGGAATAACAATACGTGCTTGTCTCACCTCACAGGGCTGATGAAATATAAAATGACATGTATGCAAGTGTTCAGAAAATATTGGGATGCTGTATTAATATAATGTGTTATTAAATTGTTAGAGGAGACGTAGTTTTCTTTAATATTCATACTATTCTCTAGGAACTCTGTCCAGAACATCCTACAGTGTTTGTAAGAGAAGAGTCCTTGCTTTCCAGATGTTCATTTTGAGTTCTAAAATACTTGCATGTATATGTATGTGAATGTTTATATTTTTCTGCTTTTTCCCTCTTTCCAACTTTCTAATCCCCATAGCCCTCCTGGCTTACTCCTGCTTATCATTGAAAATTGAAAATTCATTTCAGTGTTACTTCCTTCAAGAAACCTTCCCCTGGGGGCACCTGGGTGGCTCAGTCAGTTAATTGTCCGACTTTGGTGCAGGTCATGATCTCACGGGTTCGTGAGTTTAAGCCCTGCATTTGAGCCCCTGCTGTCAGCACAGAGCCCACTTTGGATCCTCTGTCCCCTCCTCTCCCTGCCTTTCCCTGACTCATGTGCTGGCACTCTCTCTCTCTCTCTCGTTCTCTCTCTCAAAAATAGATAAACATTAAAAAAAAAAAAAAAAAAGAAACCTTTCCCCATCCCAAGGCTGGGGTGGTGCCCCACTACTGTGCTTTCAAAAACCCTTTAGTTTATCTTACACTGTATTTTCCACATATGTTTATGATTACTTTTCTGTCTCTTCTCTTGGATTGTGAGAATCTTGAGAGTGAACTCTGTGTTTTCGTCATGTGAGTTCCCAATGCTTACCAGTGTTTTCACATAGTAGGCACTCAGATTTTGTTGTATTAGTAATTGCTGGTCTTACCATATACATGTGAAAGTACAAATGCTCCTATTCCAATGTGACGAGCCAGGGACCAAATAGATTTATCTATTGCCATAGTAAACTTAGTTCATTTTCTTTAGAAACTGTGATAGGCAGAATGGTTCCCCTGAGAATGTCCACATCCTAATCATGAAACCTGTGAGCACATTATGTAACGTGGTGGAAGGGATTTTGCAGGTGTGTTAAGGTTACATACCTTAAGGTAGGGGGATCATCCTGGATTATCTGCATGACCCCAATCTAATCCTATGAATCCTTGAAAGCAGAGAAGTTTCTTTGGCTGGAGGTAGAAGAGAAGCAGCAGAAGGAGAAATCAGTGAGAGTCCAAGGGCGAGAAGGACTTGCACTGTTGCTGACCCTGAGATGAAGGGGGCTTTGTGCAAAGAACAAAGGGAGATCTATAGGGGCTGGGAAAGGTTTCTGGTTGACAGTCTGCAAGGAAGTGGGGACCTCAGCCCCACATCCACAAGGGACTGAATTATACCAACCAAGTGAATGCATCCAGAAGCAGATTCTCTTCCAGAGTCTCCAGATAAAGTGTTCGGGTTGGCCTACACTCGACTTCAGCCTTTTGAGACCCACAGCTGAGAAAGCAGTCTAATCTACTTGGACTTCTACCTACAGAACTGTGAGATAATACATTTGTGTTGTTAAAAATCACAATATTTGGGGCGCCTGGGTGGCGCAGTCGGTTAAGCGTCCGACTTCAGCCAGGTCACGATCTCGCGGTCCGTGAGTTCGAGCCCCGCGTCGGGCTCTGGGCTGATGGCTCAGAGCCTGGAGCCTGTTTCCGATTCTGTGTCTCCCTCTCTCTCTGCCCCTCCCCCGTTCATGCTCTGTCTCTCTCTGTCCCAAAAATAAATAAACGTTGAAAAAAAAAATTAAAAAAAAATCACAATATTTGTGGTAGTTGGTTAGGGTAGCAATTAAAAATAGAAAAATTAATTTACTAGCTCCAAAAGGTCAGATTTTGGAAATCTATCATAAAGGTGGAATGGTCTGGGTCTGCAAGAGATGATGTACATCCCCACAGAAAAGGTGCCCGGAGTTGATTCTTTGGAATGGCAACAGCAGCAGAGGTGGGTTCCAGGATTGGCCTGTGTTGCCACACCTGCCAAGTCCAGTACAGGCCAATCCAGGTGCTCTTGGAGATTTACTTAATTTCTTCCAGATTTGAAGCTGGTTGCAAGTTTGATTGGGTTGGCCAAGGCAGAGCAAGAGAGGTTGGAGAAATAGCAAAAGCTAGTTTGGAAATCCTTTTCCCTCATAATTATGAGTTATGATGATATTTCTTTCCTGTCTGTTAACTTCTAGAATTCCTCTTAAGAAATCTAATGTTGTTCTGATTCTTAATTCTTTATACATGTTATTTTTTTGCTCTGTGAAGTTTCTTTTGATCTTTTCTTCATCCCAGATATTCTGAAATTTAAAATGATGTACCTTGGAGTTGTTTCTTATTGTTTATTATGCTGGATAGTCAATAGGCCCTTTTCAAAATTTTTTTCAGTTCTGGGATATTTTCTTGTATTATTTCTTTGATAATTCTCTCCTCCCTTTTCTCTGTGTGGGGGTGGGGTGGGTGGGGGAAGGATTCTTTATGGAACTCTTACTGATAAAATATTAGAATACTAGATTGATTATGCAGATTTCTTGTCTTATTTTCCCTTTATTTGTTCATGTATCTATTTATTCTCTAATTTCTTCAACTTTGACTTCCAATTTTTCTATTTAAATTTAAAAATTTCTGGCGTCATTTTTTAAATTAAAAGATTTTTTCTTGTTTACATGTATATTTCTTTTATTATTATTATTTTTTAAGTTTACTTATTTATTTTGAGAGATAAAGAGAGAGATGGGGCAGAAAGAGAGGGAGAGAGGGAATCCCAAGCAGGCTTCATGCTGTCAGTATGGAGCTTGATATGGGGCTCAAACTCACAAACCATGAGCCCAAATCAAGATTTGGATGCTTAACCAACTGAGCCATCCAGGCACCTCTATTTCTTTTTTTTTTAAATATCATTCTTCATTTCTTTCTGGGATGTTATTGTTTTTCTTATTTCTTTGAGAATATTCTAGTTTTTTAAAAATTTTCTTCTGCACATTGTTTCTGTTTTCTCTGAACTGCCTCTCTTCAATTTGTTTTGGTTCCTCTTTTTCACATTACAGACTTTCCTCAAATGTATGGTGTCCTTGGTTGTCGGTTCATATTAAGTTGTAAGGTTTAAAAAAGTTGAGTCATAATTCTGGGCTCTCAGTGGGTTGGGCTGACTGGTCACTTTGATCAGGCAGGACTTGTAGGTCTTTTCTCTGTGGTTCTTCAACCTCTATAATGATGAACACTTGAATTTATGATTGGTCCTGTACATCTGAATCATGGCTTTCTGGAAACCATGACTGGGGTATGATCATCCTCTTTATGGTAATTAATAATCAGATGCTAAAGTCAGACTTACTGATTTTAAAGTTCTGCTGTCACTGCTGGTGGGAATGCAAACTCTGGAAAACAGTGTGGAGATTCCTCAAAAAATTAAAAATAGAACTACCCTACAATCCAGCAATGACACTACTAGGTATTTATCCAAAGGACAGAAGTATGCTGATTTGAAGGGGCACATGCACCCCAATGTTTATCTTAGCACTAACGACAATAGCCATAGTATGGAAAGAGACCAAATGTTCATCGACAGATGAATGGATAAAGAAGATGTGGTGTATATATATATATATATATATATATAGAGAGAGAGAGAGAGAGAGAGAGAGAGAGAGAGAGAGAGAATTACCTGGCAATCAAAAAGAATGAAATCTTGCCATTTGCAACAACGTGGATGGAACTAAAGTGTATTATGCTAAGCGAAATTAGTCAGAGAAAGACAAATATCATATGACTTCACTCATATGAGGATTTTAAGATACGAAACAGATGAACATGAGGGAAGGGAAGAAAAAATAATATAAAAACAGGGGGACAAAACATAAGATACTCTTAAATACAAAGAACAAACAGAGGGGTGCTGGTGGGGTTTTGGGTGGGGAGATGGGCTAAATGGGTAGAGGCATGGGTAGTGTCCTCCTTAAGGAGGACACTTGTTGGGATGAGCACTGGGTGTTATATGCAGGGGATGAGTCACTGGATTCTACTCCTGAAATCATTATTGCACTATATGCTAACTAACTTGGATGTAAATTTTTAAAAAATCAATAAATTTTAAAAGATATAAAGTTCTGCTCGGTCACTTTGAGTTGTGTTTACCTGTGCCCTCATTTTACAAATGAGGGCACTAACAGTATCTACTTTATGGGATAGTTGTTAGGGTTAAGTGATTAATATCTATAAAGTGCCTGAGGTATTTGAAACAATGAGTATTCAGTAAGTTACCCATTTTTATTGTCATTGTTGTCATTGTTATTAATCCAGTGTAATTCCCTGTTGTGCCTCATCCCTCCCTCCGTTGCCCTAGTATGTAGCTAGCTCCTCTGGTTCAGTGTTTCTAGAGTGGTAGCTTCCCACATTGTGACAAAGCGGAGGATGAGAAGAGTTGGGAAGGAGACCTTGGAAATACACCAGCTCCTTATCCTGACTTTTAATCAATTTTCTGGATCTTCATTCCCATGCCTTCTGAGGTAACTGGTATCACCAATTCCCATGCCTTTCTGGGAGTTTAGAGGCAGAAGCATGTTTTCTCACTATTGGATTTCCCTCTAGAGGCACTTAATTTCCAGATTTCTCTGTCTGCTAACCTACCACCACTCGTCTATTCCACTTTGGTTTCTTGTGTACTATGTCTCTTCTCCTGTTCTCTTTTCCTAGTGGGCTTACACCTTTTGTGTTCCTTTACTAATAGTCTAATTGGGTATGAAAAGGGAATGAAAATCAACTTATGTATTCAATTGGCCATGTTAACTACAAGGCCACTGGCCTCACCATCTATGAAATGAGGGGTTACAGTGGATAAACCTTTAGGCATTTTCCTCCACTAAAAATCTTTGCTCCTTTGTATGGTTTAGATTTAATGTAATTCCCAGCTGATCACAGCTAGGTTCTTTATCACTTATCTCACTCTCAGAATAGTAGTGATTATTTTTGCTTTTGTTGTTTTGAATCTCTTTGAGCAAGAGACCTGCGGTGTAGCAAATTATATCTTGTGTACAAATTAGAGTAAACTGAAAAACACAGGTGACTTTTGTTCCCGTCTGCATCACAAAGACCTTTTCAATACACCTGATTGATTGTAAAGAGAACCCCACACACAAGCAGATGCAAGCGACTGGGACTCTGCTGATGGTAATTTGGGTGCTATAATATTTATCATGCTGTGCTATTTGGCAAGTAGGAAGCTTTTAAACTTTTTGCTCTTTCAGAAAAAATCCTAAAAGAAGATGATACAAACATTTGAATTAGGAAGAAGTTTCCTTTTTATGGAGAATCACAGAGAATGTCTTGATAAATTGATGCAAGTCTTGTATTTAAGATGATTCAGGTCAGATTTTTGTCACTTGCATCCAGGAGAGTCTTTGACTTATCAAGGACAGTGGAGATGGAGAAGGGTTTGTTGTCTTTCTCTCTGCATCTCCACTACATGGCCTGACACTTTGTACTTACAGCCTCACTGTCTGTCACTGTTTGCTGTGGTCACTAGAATTAATGACCAGCTCTTATGTGTTCTATTTTGGAATCCAGGAGAGAAACTTCACAAGATAATATTTTTGAGAGGGGGGTTATATGGTGTTTGAAATAAATAACAGCCTCCTAGAGTTTGGTGCAATCCATTGCATATGGTTTTTGTTTGTTTCAGTGCCATGGCATAGGGGATGGGGATACATTCCTCAGAAAGTTTTCAGTTAAAACAGGATAATATAATGAAAGTAAGGGAGACATTAACAATTTTTTCTCTCATACTCCCCATTACTTTGGACAAAATCTGATTAAAGGTTTGTGGAAAAAAAGATTAATGTATCAATATTGACAATTTTGGGTTCATCAGTGATGAACCCCTCCCCCCCCAAAATAATTCTCACCACATTCCCAATGGCTTTTTTATTATAGTAATTATGACATATACTGTTGGTTGACTCTCCAGCAACATGCCTTCCTTTATTCTTGCTATCACCCTAATTTTGTTCGGGTAGAAAGTGGCCATGCTCTTCAGGGACTTTGGGATCTTCCAGGACTCTGGTGTCCCAACTCCAGAACTGAATCCTGATTGGTCTTAGGCATCTATTGTTCTTTTATCTCCCTTGCCATTGATTGGCTTAGGACTGAGCATGGAATGTGATTTTGGCCAGTGAAATAGGAGGTAAGTCTACAGACTGGCTTTTGGGAAGTTTATCTTTGTTCCTCACAAAGGACCCAGAGAAGGGCTTTGTGTGTGAATATGATGTTTGGTGCAGCTGCAGCCATTTTGCAGCTATGAGATGTTCTTAAGGACCTCACTGAGGATGGCAGAGTAGAAAGATGAAAAGAACCTGAATATTGATAATGTTGCCAAGCTGCTGCCTTGATTAATCCTGGGGCAATATCATCTTTAAACTCTGCATTCAGTGAAATCATAAATTTCCTTATCACTTAAGCCTTTTTTAGCTGGTTTTTCAGTTACTCATAGCTGAAATAATCCTGATACAGTAATAAAACAAATATAATGCTTTAACTCTTTGGACTAAAACTTTTCTTCTATTCTTTCTCCATATGTGAGAAAGGTATGAAGTGAAAAATAAAAATGAAGAATTGCAAATATTAAAGGATCACACAATGTCAGACCAAAAGAGATTTTAACAAATTATTTAAAAAACACTTGTTGATAGAGAATTGTAGATCCTGGGTATAGCAGAAATAAGAGACACTGTCTCTGCTCTTTTGGAGATTATATTCTAGTGGGTCTTAGAGAGTATTTGGTCTAATCTTATTACGTAGAAAGGGACAACTTTTATATCATTCAGTGTTGGTGTAAAATTTTTTTTTTTGTTACTTAACAAAAGAGGGTAGATCCTATTAGAGGAAAGACTATATACATTTGTGGTTCTTTTTGCTTTTGAACATATAGCTAGCTGTTTTGCTTATCTGACTACCTGAAGGTTTTTGTTATCTAGGGTTTGGCTGGGACTGAGTCTGGGTATAAAGAGAGAAGAGAGCTGAATTTCTGTGCATAATACAGTAAGAGGAATTTAGAATTAGACTGTGTGTGTGTGTGTGTGTGTGCACGCGTGCATGTACATTTGCATGCAATCGACACACACACATGAGAAACACCAAGATGGTCAGTGTCTAAGTGCTAACTGAAATAGAGAGGTCACAAACTCCCTGTGCCATGGTGGCCAAAAGGACTTTTAGGATGAGATGACCAGTATATAGTTTTAAGTTATTCGCTCTGTCATGCAGGGATATAACTCTTTGACGGTGACTTAGAAAACCTTAGCAAAAGTTTTGCTACACATCCACAGGCATTGTTCCCTTGTTGCTTCAGTGGGGAATCAGGGAGACAAAGGGTTGACCTCAACGCATAGAGCAGAGAACAGGGATTCAGCAGAGGCAGGAAATGGGAGAGAAATCAGCAGATGCAGGAACGTATATCTCCTTCTTCCATTTTCCTCTCCCTGGGAATTTTGCAGACATTTTGAAGAGGTCTCTGCACTTAACAATGGGTATGGAATGGGATGTGACCTCTTTAATTTACATCATTTGGGACATCTGCATTAGGGTCTTACCACGCTGGTGGCTGCAGGTTTCATCACACGAGTAATTATTCAATTACTGGGAATTGCCTTCCCCTGTAGAGAGTAAGCTCCTTGAGGGCAGGGACCATGTCTTTTTTATCAATAAAGTTCATATTGGGCAGTGGTTCAGCCCCTAAAATAAGTATCCAATTAATATTTATTAAATAGTTCCCTCCTAATAGGGAAAAAACTATCATTTAAATACTCATAGCATCCCTTCTGCCCTCAGCTTGTGGTGCTACTTCCCTGAGGACAACTGTGTTTTGCCAGGCAGGCTCCTGGACCAGCACTTATTGCTTGTGGACGATGGGGAGACCAGACGAGTTGGGAGAAGCCAGCCAGGTTTACACTGGAAATATCAAAGAACTCCTGACAAGAGAAAAGTAGTGGATACAGACAGTGGGAGGGGAGACAGAGAAGACATTTTGTGGGAGTTGAGTTTGAGAGGTTTGGGGATCTTGGAGAGGGAAAAGAGGGTCTTTGGAGGCAGGTGCAAGGCATATGAATGCACACACAAATATGATTCTTCTGTGGATAAAACTGGAAGGAAAAGCTGGTTTCAGTCAGTTTTGGTGTGTGTTGTGTTACCAGTGTGATCTCTGGACAATTTTAATAGATTTCAGTAAAGATAAAAATTGCTTCTTGGTTAGTTCTGGCTGTATTTCTTTTCTTTTCTTTTTTAAAGATTTTATTTTTAAGCACTCTCTACACCCAACATGGGGCTCAAACTCACAACCCTGAGATCAAGAGTCACATGCTCTACCGACTGAGCCAACCAGATGCTCCCGGCTGCATTCCTTTGAATGAGACTCCAGACTAAGGCTGACTGCTGGGTAAGGAAGGCCAGCCTGGCTTTACATGGCATACACCTTCATGTAGGAAACTGGGTTTTACACTCTGGTATCCTCCACAGAGCTCCCAGGCACTCAGTAGGGACAGCAAATATTTGTTGCACGGAACTGAAATTGCAGTGATTAATCTAAGATTGCATGCTGTCCAATCTGGTAGCTAAATATGGGCAGAATTAGGACTAAGGCCTAAAATGCGGTATGTTCTTAGATCTTGTTCTTTAGTAGATTTAAAGAACAGTGTTAGAAAATGCAGTGAGAGAAGGACATTCCATTTTGGGACTATTCCAGAAATATGCATGAGGGTCATTTAGACTGACCTTATTTTCCATTTGAGTTAATCTGTGGGTAGCAAGTCACTCCCTGTTACCAGCCAGATCCTCCTGAGGATCTTAAAATATTCAAATTGGATTTTTTTTCAACCCCCTGAAACTCACAGAAAAGTCACATACTGGGCCAGAGTCTCAGTTCCGCCTCCCTGCTGGAACTCAGTACAACAGTGGCCTTCCTCCTTGTTGGGAATACATGCCTATGCTCTCTCTTTCTGCTGGATTAACTGGATTTAAACTAAATGGAATAAAATGTTTCATTTTTGAGAGTCCACTTTGCATTCTGTGGCTAGGAGAGAAAGCTGTTATTTCAATCTGGTGATAGGTGGGAGCTTCTTGAGAGAAACTAAGATTCCTAGAGTTTGCAAATGTCCTATACAGCTCAGTGCTGCATTCGGGGCAGGGGCGGCTCTGTTCTTACAGAGGCTACCCCAGAGACTTTCAGAGGGCCCGATGCTTCATTTAACAACCTCAGACAGGGGCCTGTGAGAGATCCAGTCCTATTCCTTAGCTGCCCGTTTCCATCTTTCTTACTTGGCACTTCTAGAAGGCTAATGAGAAACTGTCTGTGGCCACGTTAAGGTAGAAGGATAGTGCATTTCTTTTTTGTTCTTGCAGGTATTTTTAAAATCCTGGGCCCGATGCCACCTGTCAGGAAACACACACTCTGACATCTCTCACAAGTACTGCAGGGAGGAGGCATGATGCCCAACAATGACCCGACAGGAGATGTGATCCCTCTGGAAGCTTCCAGACACTGTGCTCCTCATTGGGCTCAGGTGTTGAGTGTCAAGCAGATGAGCCTGAGGTTATTCAGGACCCTGTCAGGTCATTCAGAGGAACAAAACCACAACAAACTGACCAGAACCCTTGATGTCTGGAAGAAGTTCACTGCCTGTGCCAGCCAGGGGCTGTCCCACCACGTTCTTGTCGGCCTGAAAGAAAAGAAAGGAGGAACTCAGGATTCCAAACTAATGGCCTTGTGTTGGAAGCTGCTTGGGAGTATGAGAAATGCAGATAAAAAGAGGCACTAAGATGCACAGGTATGTGTTTGGAGAAGTGGTTATACAGCCTCGGTGTGGAGAGTCCCTGCTGCCAGACGAGCGATGTGGTCTGCGTTTGTATCTTCAGTGTGAAGCTGGCCCAAGGCTCAAGGGACCCATTCACTACACGTGGTCTCCCGCCCATGCACCTGTGGGAATATGTGTGCTTGGGGTTAATGGCTTTGGGGACGTAGCCTGGGTTTACAGTGTGGGCCATGAAATGGCCAGACAAATGCCTATCATCACAGACTTGGAAGAAATTCTATGAAGAATCTGAAGTTGTCTCAGAAGTTGCTTAAACCTAGATGCCTTGTCTAAATTAAAAAATATGGCATGCACACGCACACATGCGCACACACATGCACACACACACTTCCCTCAGGGGCAGTGCATCTTTAGTTATTTGTTTTCCATCCATTCCAAAAGGGAAGAGAATACCAGATAGATGGGATGAATCAAATGGGATTATTTTAAAATGCATTCTCCCTCCCCTTCTGCAGGGGATTGAGGAGGATTACATGCAGCTTTTGTGAAATGTCTGTGCTCCTCTCTGGGAAAGGAACTGTAAATGTCAAGTCGTCAGTCTCCGTGACAACAACTCACACAGGTACAGGGCGGACTGGCAGGGAGGGAAGAGCATGGCCAGCCCGTGCACCAGTGTCACCTGCCTTTGTAGAGACCAACGCCCCAGCAGTCCAGCGTAGCCAACAGATGGAGAGGCAAAGACAGTTAGGGATGCAGAATGGATGGGGGGGGGCCTGGTGACACCCCAGAGATACAAACCACCCGGCAGAGGGAGCGTGCAACAGAAGCAGCAGGCTTAGCAGGTGCAGCCCCCATCACTTCGCCAACCCAAATCCCAGGGGCCTCGTACGCACTTGGTGTTAACTGAGCTTCTTAAACCCTGATGTGCATGTGAACCACCTGGCGATCTTGTTAAAGTGAAATTTCTGATTCAGTAGATTGAGGGATAGGACCCAACACGCTACATTTCTACAAAACTCCTGGATGATGCTGATGCTGCTGGCCCAGACACCGTGCCCAAGGTGTGAAGAGAATTTCAGGTCACAGGTGTGCTTCAGGTAGCACAGCTTCAATAGAATCAAATTCTGTACAAAGATATGCAAATACAGTGAAGTCACACTTAACCTCACTAACATTTGGAGGAAATTGTCCAGGTAACTCCTAAATCTTTTGTATTTGAAATGCTTCGTCTGATGAAAAATTCTCTTTCTATAGCTGACAGCTGATGTGGGGCTGTTCACATCTATATTAAGATGGCCTAGCAATTCCTCAACAGACACCAGCTGAGGGAAGGAGTATGCTGGGTGGCAGGGGAGGCGAACTTGGCAGGCACATTGGCCAAGGACCGTCCGTAACATGCACTGCCCACATGTGCATAGTTGGGAGCTGGGTTTTGCAATGGATTCTTCTCTGGTTGAGCGAGAGAAGGGAAATTAACACAGGGCTCTTAAGTTCTCCTTGCTCTCCTTGGTTTCCCAAAAGAAAAAAAAAATTAAATAGGTAGGAAGAAATGGAAAATGACAGGAAGAGAATGAAAGTCAAAAGACTGCTTGGGTTTCTATTTTTACTTTTTATTTTTGAGAGGAGAGAAGAATAAACTCCCAAGGATGAATCAAGAAGAAGAACATTTAAAAAAAAAAAAAACAAAGAAAAGAAATGTGTGATGAAGAGAGGAAGGAAATCTCCTTGGTAGATAAAACAGATTTGCCAAATATATTACATTCATTAAGATTTTTCTTTGCTTATAATGTGTGCTTTTTGGAGGCTTTTCTTAGCATTAACGGACGCTCTGGGAGAGGAGAAAGTTGGCAGAGAGAAGCCTGGCAAATATATAAATAAGCTTTGGAGGCTTCAGAAGTTTCATATCCCACAATAGAATGTTCTCCAGGCTGGGCAAACTTTTTCTTACTTAAACAAATGCTTTGAAAGACAAAGATTTCATATCGTCAGTGGAACATTCAGACTAATAATTGCCTTTGTTCTTCCTGCCTTGAAGTCTCAACAGCCAGCAGATTTATGATTCACTTTCGGCAATAAGCTCCTTCAAATAAATATCACTTTCCCAGGCTGCAAATTGAGTTTTCGCAAACACAGAGATCGACTTCACTAAGAGGAACTAAGTTTTCTTGTGGTGTATGTGTATACGATTAGGAAACACTGCTTTCTTCCCCTATTCTGTAAAACAATGGATTAGAAAACTATGTAAAAAATAGCCGTTTTTTACTATCAGTGAGATTTTGTAGAAACTTTTGTTGGGGGAGCAGGAGGTGGAGTGGGAAGGGGACAGAGGCAGTTTCACTTTTCTCTTAGGTTTGTGGACCTCAGAAATTTTGTGTAAAGTCTGAGGTTGTGTTTAAACTGGTTTACTTTGTAGTTGGGGCAAGATAATTTCAAAAATTTTAAAGTAAAAGAAATAATGCAAGCAAGTATAAATGTAAGAGTTAAATCGAGGCTTATAGACTCTAACTGTTGGAATCAAGACCCTTTCAGAGCTACCAGCCTTCTCCCAGTGCTCTTTAGCTTCCAGTACTAACTCAATGGACATTATTGGATTCCTTAAATATGCCAGGCAGTAGGGGTGCCAAGGGAGGTGAGACATGATGCTGATACCCACATAGATACCTTTAAGAACAAAGTAGAAGAATCAGAGTAAGCTATGGGAGTACAAAGGATGCCCAACCTGGGGTGTGGAGGAGGATGTCAGACCCCCAGAGTCTTGTATCACTTTGGAGTGTGGCAGTCACCTAGATCCTTGTCCACATGCATTACGCCAGATATAAGGCAACCGAGCCTCTTTCAGTAGACTGATGACACCGTTTCTTTGGCCTGTCCCCATGACACTGCTCCTAGTTGTATTTGGATTGCATTCTCTGTCCCTTCCCCAGTTTGAACTTTGTGTGGTACCTGCTGCCTTAATGATAATGATCCTTTCTGGAGAACTTAAAAGTGCCAGACATCATGGTGCTAGCCACTTTCAAATATATTATTTTCCTGATACAGGTATTATTGCCATATTATAGAGGAGGAAATGGAAGTTGACAAAATTTAACCAAATCGCTCAAGATCACACAACTGGTACTTGCTGGAACATGGATTAATTAATTTATTATTATTATTTTTTAATGTAAGCTCTACACCTAACAGAGATCTTAAACTCATGACCCCAAGATCAAGAGTCACATGCTCTACCAACTGAGCCAGCCAGGTGCCCCTACAACATGGATTTAAACCCAAGTCTGTCTGATCCAGAACCTGTAGTTTTGACCATTAGTAACAACAATACCAGTTTAACACTTTCTGGACTTTATGTGCCAGGCACATAGTTCTTATTGTGATTTATTTATTTATTTATTTATTTATTTATTTATTTATTTATTTATTTTTGTTTATTTATTTATTTATTTATTTATTTATTTATTTTTATTTATATATGAAATTTATTGTCAAATTAGTTTCCATACAACACCCAGTGCTCATCCCAAAAGGTGCCCTCCTCAATACCCATCACCCACCCTCTCCTCCCTTCTTATTGTGATTTAATTTGCTTAATCTTCACATGAATCCTGTGAGAGTATCAGTGTTTTTTTTTTTAATTTTTTTTTCAACGTTTTTATTTATTTTTGGGACAGAGAGAGACAGAGCATGAACGGGGGAGGGGCAGAGAGAGAGGGAGACACAGAATCGGAAACAGGCTCCAGGCTCTGAGCCATCAGCCCAGAGCCCGACGCGGGGCTCGAACTCACGGACCGCGAGATCGTGACCTGGCTGAAGGCGGACGCTCAACCGACTGCGCCACCCAGGCGCCCCTATCAGTGTTTTTATTATTTCTATCTTACAAATGAGGAAATGAGGCTCATCTGTGACTAACTTGTCCAAAGTCACACAGCTGGTAAGGCAGGGAGCCTGGATCAAAGCTCAGATAGGCTGGCGCCAGAACCCGTACCCTTACCCACTATGCTCCCCAACCTATGTGCCCAGACCCTACATGGGTCTATTCCCTTCTTTAAGTTCTGAATAGAGACTTTGGTTCCCCTACGTGGACATTTCAACTTGTTTCCTTCCTTTGATATGTTAGACCCATCATCACATCTACAATTTGTAGTCTAAGTATCTGTGTCTGTTTCTTCACTTTTCCTCGAACAGGTACTGCACATCTATGTGTTCCAGGCACTGTACTGTGCAGTTGGGAGCTGCAGATCAATACCCAGAAATATTTATTTAGAGGAATGATGGACCCTTTTCTGGAGCCAATCACAATCCAGTGGGGAGACAGACAAGTCAGCAAAGCATTCCAGTGCCATATAACAAACGCTGTGATGGAGGAAAGTGTGAGTGCTCAGGTAACCTCAGAGAAGGGAGGGCCTACCTCTGGGCAAGGTGAGGTGACCCCTCACAAGAGGCATTATTTGAAAAGAATCTTTAAAAAGCAGGAGTTGATGAGGCAAATGAGGGACGGAGAAACAGATCTTAATTTAAGTCAGAGTTTTCTTACCTTCTTGCATTGTAGGGTTGGAAGATGTTAGTGGCTTGTTGGTACCTCAGCAATCAATATGTATAAAAGTCTGCATAATAATAATAGATAACACTTGTTAAGAGCCTTCGAGAGGCCAGGCAAAGTTTTGAGTCTTTACATGCATTATCTAGTCCAATCCTCACAGCCACACTTTGACATAGATGCCATTACTATTTCCAGGTTCCACACAGGACTCACGGGGTCCCGGGGAAGGAAAAGATTCCTTTTGCATTGATTCTGCTCTGGTTCCAGGAAAGGGATGGAGACATTTCTTAGGCATTGTGCACAGACCAACAAAACTTGATGGACTAGGGGCTTGTTTAAAATGCAGATGCTGGACTGAGAACAACAGAATCAGAATCACTCTTCCGTGCTCTGCCGGTGATTTGGGAGCACACCAAACACTGAACTACGCCCCTAGGTGGTGAGCACTGAGCATGTAGGAAAATCTGTTTCCTAGTTAACTTCTTTGTGATCTCATTGGCCATTTACTAAAAGAACCAGCTCAGAGAGTTCTAGAGGGGCTGGTATTTCCCTAGGAGATGGAGTTTCCCTATCCCCTTTAGTCTTACATATATATTCCAAAGAAGATATTATGTATTTTTAGAAATTTTTTGGATATGAATCCTGGCATTGCAACAATAATTTCCAGAAACTGAAGATATGTTTCAACAGATGCTAAGGATACATTGCTCTTTTCATAAGAGAACTGGCTCATTCAGTGATGTTGAAAATCAGATGATTTTTCTTTTAGGTCACATCAGGAGCTGGTGGTTATATCAAGAGGGTTTTAGTCTTCATGGTTGATTGGAATGTTCAAGCACAGAGGGTACTTGTCTGTCTCTCCCCTCTCAATGGGAGGAAGATCATGAAGGAGAGACTATTGATAAGAGGAAAGTACAGCTCTCCAGTGGTGGAGACCATAGTCTCTTCTCTCAAACATAATCAGTTTCTCTTATTTTAAAGGACGTAGAGGTTATGGACTTTGGGATCATACAACAGCAAGGATGGGCTAAATGAGTATACAGTTCAGTGTTATTAAGTACATTCGTATTGTTACCACAATAATAGAAAAAGTAAAAAAAAAAAGGGCTAAATGAATCAAATCTCCAGTTTTTTTTAGTTCATGGTAGCTGAGCCCTTGACAATTCAAACTGTTACAATTATGAACATTCAATGCAAGTGAAGAGTTGGGATGTGATATAAAGGCACAAGGGATTAACAAAGGACTGTTAAATTCTCTGCATCTCCCTCTTTTCCAAAGCACCATGTGGAAACAGGTGCATGAGATGGTCTCTTTGATGACTATTTAAGTGCAGTTTTCACTACTGTATTCAGCTTTCCAATAACCATTTACAGAAGAACAGGATCTTAATTCCTAACAGGTTTTCATGTATTCAGTCTGACTCTGAATCTAATTTATACAGGTTGGAGAGATTTGGAGGAACAGAGAATGAGATGCCAAATGTAAGAATATGCTTTATTTGTAAATGTTCATCCATCTGTTTAGTACTGACTGTAAAACCACAATGAGATAAACAATAATAGATGAGCAAAATAGGGCCTTGTGTTCACAATCATTCTGTCTAGCATGTGATCAAATAAGCATAATTTGCTTTGCAGAATGGTTGTCAGGTTAAAGTGCTGTACTTGCTGTGGGAGGGCTTTGAAAAGTGTAGATGGGCAGTTTGCTGTCAGGGCTAGAGAGAGACTGGAGAATGGCAGTGGAAAATGTTTTGCAGTGATAAAGAATTCATTCAACAACCATTTATTTAATGGGTATCTACTGTGAGCTAATAGCCTGTATTAAAGCTTGAAATAATATAAGAAGATAAGTATAATTTCAACTGTATTGGAATATACAGTCCTCAAGACGGAGAAAATTAATTCTAGGATTGTAATAAGACTTGATAACTGCTATGTTTATGCTGTATAACAAACCACCCCCAAAATCAGTGGCTTAGAACGGTAATCATTTGTCATTTCTCAGTATTTGCAGATTGGCTGACCTAGGCTGAGCAGCTCTTCAGGTCTTTTCTGGACTTGCTAACATGTCCATGGGTCACCTGGGGAACAGATGATCTAGTCTGGGCTTGGTTGATGAAGATTCTCTGGGTAGCTCTGTCTGCCCTGTGTATCTCTTATCCTCACCCTGGGATCAGCATATGGCAACAGTGATGAAAGCAAGTGGAAATACACAAGACCTCTTAAGGCCTATGAGCAGAACTGGCACATGTTACCTCTGCCTCAATCTATTGGCCAAAGAAAGGCACAAAGAAAAGAGTTGTTCTGGGCAGGAGAAACAGCCAGTGTGCAGTTCTAGAGGCATGGCAGGTTTGAGGGACTGAAAGAAGGCCAGAGTGGATGGATAGAAGAGAACAATGGTGGGAAGAAATGAGAAAGGTAGGATCAGATAGGGAAAAGTCTTACCCACCATATTAATAACTGACTTTGGAGTTTCTCTGAAGGGCCTTCAGAGCCAGTGAGGGGTTTTGATATTATGGTTATTATTTGCCAGTCGTCATTGACCCCTACTCTAGATTTAAGGGGGAATGTCATTCCTCCAGTTTGCAATCGCATAAGCAACAAAGTGCACCTTCCCCAATATTTTGATTAGATTTTCCCATTATTTGTCCAATATATTTCCATTCCCTTAGGACCTCTGATTAATGTCTCTGAACAATCCCACTTTGTTTTAATTAGTGCAAATATTTTAAGTTCAGCATATTAATTCCTCTTGCAGGAAAAGCATTCTGTTTGAGAATCATCATAAATCATTAAAAAAATGAATTGGCTAGTGAGAGAAAGGCCATTTCCCAGCAAATACTGGCAGTCTATTTTGTTAAGGGGTGAAACTCTAGGTGCTGGAAATAGCTTCTGACCTGCTCAGACCTTTGACCCGTTCAAAGCAAAGAAGTATCTTTCTTCTTCTGTCATTCCTCAGGGTCTTTAATCCTTTGAAGTATTTTAAGGAGGCATCATGGCAGAACTAGAAGAACTGGATTTTACTCTCAACATTGCTCCTGACTGCTTGGGTGACCTTGGGTAACTCACTTATTTCCATTGGATTTCAACATTTTTGTTCATAAAAGGGGTGTGTAAATGTTCCCCCAGAATCTTTCCAGTTCTAAAATTCTCCAGTTTTTGGGTTATGCTATGAGCATAATGGTAATACCACGAACGGAGATTTATAGTTTTCAGTTCCAGAGACTGCCTGAAGTGCCCTTTGCATTGTACAAAGTCAAGAGTTGGGAAGATGCATTAAAGATGAAGGAGAAGGAAGTCAGGAAAAGGACATTTGCATGCATGTAGGCAATAAATGAATTTGTTATGAGTTAAGACATCTGCCAAGAAGCATTAATGAGAACAGCGGTGGCTGCTTGATCACCTGTGTGCCAGATTAAGGGCAGTATTATATAATACACTAGCAACTAGAATTATGCTAAGAATCCTGTGGTTTTTATTTATTTAGTTATTTGTTTTACTATTTTGTATGTATCCTTTACCTTAACTCTTGAGATTCATGGCTATATAATTTTATCTGAATATTTTCTAAATTCAACGATTCGTTGACTAGCAAGGAAAGCACCCCACCTCCAGCCAAGATCCATGAGTGTTGCGGCTACCATGAGTCAAATTCAATTTCAAAATTTAAATTTACATTGAGGCTAAACTTATTTGGTCTCCTGGATAGCAGCTGTATCTGGGAGTCTCTTGGTTCAGTATTTGATGTGCTTGTAATTGCTGTTTACTTACCCCCATCTCCAAGACACAAGAATTTTCTCAGAACTGAGCGTGAAAGGGAAACAGATCTCGCTTCTCTGCTGTCTTTCCAATACTCCCCAGCACACTGATGGGGGCATCTATAGCTCAGATAGTTAGAATTTCCCAGAGCAACACAAGCACTCAATCCCAAAGATAAATCTCAAGCATTCTAAAGGTATCCTAGCACTTTAAAAGCCAAGCTAGTTATTTCCTAGGGAAGGGTTTGGCTGGTGTTGATTATAGAAATAAATCTGCACTTCATTTTTAGCCCAGTGGCCCATTACAGCTCGCTTCAGTGTCTAAACCCCCAAGAATAACGAGAGTCATTTTATGGGAATGAGAGATTATAAATCACTGACTTTGTCAGTTCAGTGTTTCCTTCGGCATTTTTTTTTCTCTGAGAGTTGTGCAGACAGCAGCCCCAGAGACCACCCCTTTGAGAAGCTTCACCTGCTTTTTGTTGGCTTTTGACTAAAGCCTCAAGTTGGCCCTGGCCTTGTCCCAGGGCCACCTGTTAGTCTCAAATAGAGAGGTGATTGAGCAAACATTCATTTTTAGTGTGTATATAGTTTCGGAAGGTTTGACTCCTGTTTTCCAAGTAAGTTTCCTCCCAAACTTACTGAAAACAGAACATTGCTTTGGAATGCAAACCTCAGGCAAACAAGAGCTTAAGCAAAATCTATGCTGTGTCTGCAGAATTCTGACTGAAAGGAGTGCATCCAAGGGTCTGTTCATAAAGCAACACTCGCAGTAGCAAAGTGAACCATTCAGGATCTGGGACATGCTCAGGAAAGGGAGTGGTTCGAGTCTGAGGTCTTCAAGCTGAGTGCATGTGAAAAGAAAAAAATAGCATATCAATTCCTATTTTTATGTCCCTTTGGTATCAGTTTAAACATACAGTGTATCAACGGTCCTTTATGTATAGAAGTTATTTATACATGTGGTCTGTGCTTTAATTTTTTTTTTTAAGATTTGAATTTTAAGGAATCTCTGCACCCAACTTGGTCTCAAACTCAGAACCCCGAGCTCAAGAATCATATGTTCTACCAACTGGGCCAGCCAGGCACCCTTGAATTTTTTTTACCCATAGAGTGCATGATCAGAAAAATTTGGAAACAACTAATTAGTGCAGAGTCATCTTTCTTAGTGAGTACCAGTTAACAAGATTCACTTTTAATGCAATGCCTCACATAGCCGTTTGTTTTATTTCTTTAGTCCTAAATATTATTTGACCAGCCAAACAAACTGAAAAGCTTTGAGGCATAGAGGGAAAGAGTGAGGGAGGGAGGCTGAGAGGGTGGGAAGAGGAGGCAGGGAGAGGTGGAAGAGGAGACAGAGGGTGGCATGTAGTCCATGACCTTGAAGTTCCCTTCCAGCCCTGAGGCTTAGTGGCCATAGGTTCTGTCTCCATTTGCCAGCCACCTCTGGGTGCAGGTGCTACGGGCTGTGACGTGGCTGAAAGGTATTGCATAGACTTTAAAACACAGTGGGCAGGGTTAAGTTACAGACTACCATTAGCCTCTGAAAAATTGGAGAGGTGGTTGTATAAAGCAAGGCAAGGATGGCAATTATTAATGAATAATCACTTGATACAAGGCAGATGCTAAAGTGATAAACACATCAATTAGGCTGGTTTAAAAACAGTTCACAGGCATATTCATCAACCTGAACTCCTCTTCCTACTTTACCCTCCCTCCTCCCCATGTTGGTCAATGTTCTAGGGTGGGTCAGATGCCGAGGGC